TCTTGTCTCCAATGGCTACTTTGCCTGTTCTACAATTCCAATTAGTCATCTTCTATAAAGTCTTTTGTATCTGAATTCTTTTATTCAGTATGATTTTTTAAAGATTGATTGATTGACTGATTGGTTTGAAAGGTAGAAGTAGACAGAGAAAAAGAGAGAGAGATGTGGCATCTGCTGGCTGAATTTCCCAAATGGTTGCAATCTTTGAGGGTGAACCAGATCAAATCCAGGACTCCATCTGGGTGTCCCATGTGGAAGGCAGGAGCTCAAACAGGTGGGCCATCTTCTGCTTTTCTGCAGCTTTTCCAGGAAAATTAGAAAGAACCTGGATAAAAAGTGGAACAGCCAGGACTTGAACTACTGTCCACATGGGATGTCCAGCATTGCAGGCAGTGGCTTGCCATATTTGTACCACAATGCAGGCCCCTAAATATGATTTTTGAAATACTCTGATGTGGTAGCAAGTGTCAGTAGCTCAAATTTTTAAAAAAGTATTATTTTTATTGTATATTCAACTGAATGCCTACATCATGATTTCTTCAATCATTTACCTGTTGATGATTATTTAGGTTCCTACTAGCTGTGGCCTCTTTAAGTAAATGAATAGGTTTGTTAGAAAAATATTCACAAGATACTTCCTGCAAACATTTTAGTTTCTGCCAAATATTCATTTCTCCTTGGAGTGAAAATGCCTAATCATATTGTAAGTTCATGTTTAACTATATTAATAATTATTAAAATGTTTTGTAAAATATGTGATTTTCAGCTGTTCCATATCCTCACATATTCACTATCATTAGTACTTTTTTCTCCTTCTCTCTAGTGCATGTGTAGAGAAATGTCACTGAGATTTTAATTTGCATTTCCTTAAAGTCTAAAGAAATTAATCATCTTTTTTTTTTTTTAAAGATCTTCCATCAGATGGTTCACCCCCCAAATGGCTGCTACAGCCGGCACTGTGCTGATGGGAAGCCAGAAGCCAGGTGGCTCTTCCTGGTCTCCCATGCAGGTGCAGGGCCCAAGCACCTGGGCCATCCTCCACTGCCCTCCCGGGCCACAGCAGAGAGCTGGACTGGAAGAGGAGCAATAGGGACTAGAACCCGGCACCCATATGGGATGCTGGTGCCACAGGCAGAGGATTAACCAAGTGAGCCATGGTGCCAGCCCCACAATTAATCATCTTTTATGTGTTTAAGTGATTATCCTTATTTCCTCTTTTATGAAGTAAATGTTCAAGTTTTTTGTTTTTGTTTTTGTTTTTGTTTTTTTTTTTTTTTTTTTTTTTTTTGACAGGCAGAGTGGACAGTGAGAGAGAGAGACAGAGAGAAAGGTCTTCCTTTGCCGTTGGTTCACCCTCCAATGGCCGCTGCGGCTGGCGCACTGCGGCCGGCGCACCGCACTGATCCGAAGGCAGGAGCCAGGTGCTTTTCCTGGTCTCCCATGTGGGTGCAGGACCCAAGCACTTGGGCCATCCTCCAATGCCTTCCTGGGCCACAGCAGAGAGCTGGCCTGGAAGAGGGGCAAATGGGAAAGAATCTGGCGCCCCGACTGGGACTAGAACCCGGTGTGCCGGCGCTGCTAGGTGGAGGATTAGCCTATTGAGCCGCGGCACCGGCCAATGTTCAAGTTTTTTGTGTATTTTTAATCATGTCCTCTATTTCTTATTAACCTATAAGATTGATTTTGATATTTGGATGGGAATACTCTGATATATACACATACACAAATTTTAGTGAAACTTTATACAGGAATAGAAATATATGAGACATAGTGCACTCATACACACATTACCTTAAATTCTGTGTATTTACATTGTATACTGAAGCTGCAAACTTACTATTTCTAGCAGCTTTCTGTACATTTATGGGATTTTCTCTGCTCCTGATCATCTACACAAATAATTTTACATATTTTAAGTATGCGTGCATTTTATTTTATTGCCTCATTGAATTAAATAGCATCTCAATTACAAACTTCAATTGAAATGGAAAGAAAATTCATTCTTACCCTGTTGCTTTTCTTGTGAAGAAACCACTCAATTTGTCATCATTAAGTCTTTCATTTGGTATAGGTTTTTATAGATATATTCTATCATACTCTATTTTCAGTTATCTGAGCAATTTTCATGACAAAAAATATTGACTACTATATATGCTGTTATATAATTTTCTTAATTTTCCAGTAATATTGTCATTTACTGATATAACAAATGATTGTCATTCTTTTACTATATTAATAGTCTATGTTGATGTTCTTCCTTTCATTCCTATTAGTGTTAATTTTCACCTTTTCTCGTTTCTCTTGATTAGTTTAGCTAGAATTTTATAGATTTCATTGTTCTTTTAAAAGGAACAGCTTTTATGTTCATTAATTTTCTCTACTGTTTATATATTTTATCTCTTCTTAACTTCTGTACTTAATATTTTAATCTCTCTATCTAATTTGAGTTTAATTTTAGTCTTCTAGTACTGATGCGGATGCTTTTTAAACAAAATTTTAGATGTATAATAAATTTATAATATATTCTTTGCCTATTGGAAGACGCAACTCTAATTTTTTTTTTTTTTTTGACAGGCAGAGTGGACAGTGAGAGAGAGAGAGAGAGAGAGAAAGGTCTTCCTTTGCCGTTGGTTCACCCTCCAATGGCCGCTGTCGGCGCGCTGTGGCCAGCGCACTGCGCTGATCCAATGGCAGGAGCCAGGTACTTATCCTGGTCTCCCATGGGGTGCAGGGCCCAAGTACTTGGGCCATCCTCCACTGCACTCCCTGGCCATGGCAGAGAGCTGGCCTGGAAGACGAGCGACCGGGACAGAATCCGGTGCCCCAACCGGGACTAGAACCCGGTGTGCCGGCACTGCAAGGCGGAGGATTAGCCTAGTGAGCCGCGGCGCCGGCTAGACGCAACTCTAATTTTATCTTTTTTTTTCCAGTTATCCTGTTACTCCAGCACCATTTGTTCAAAGTACATATTCATCTTTGTGAATTGATTTTTTGAGGAAATAACTTTATTACAGGGCAACATTTCCACATGCATTGGGAAATATTTTTTCTGCTTTTAATTACATATTTATTCCTTCAGTGTCAGCAGTACAATTACTATTTTTAAATTATATATTGAGATACACTATTACATGCATATGTGTAGTAGAACATATATTTCATTAAATATACAAATATGGGGCATCCCATATCAAGTTCCAGGTCATGTTCTGACTAGAACTGTTCTGATTACAGCTGCCTGGGAAGGCAGCAAAGACAGACCAAAAACTTGGGTCCCTGCCAGTTGTGTGAGAGACCATAATGGAGTTCCTGGCTCCTGGCCATCTCTGACTGTTGTAGTCATTTGGGGAATCAGTGCATGGCAGATTTTGTCTCTCTCTTTCTCTCTCTGTCTCTCTGTGTGTGTGTGTGAATGTTTGTGTGTGTGTATGTTCCTCCTTCTTTCATGATTTTAAATAATATTAAGAAATAGAGGGGCCACAACTGTGACATAAGGGGTTAAGCCATCATCTGCAATGCCCATATCCCATATGGACACTCCACTTCCAATTCAGCTTCCTGCTAAAACACCTAGGATAGTAATTCTGCCTTTCAAGTAAAATAAAATAAATCTTTAAAAAATACAAATAGTTTTAAATCTAAATCAACCTGATAAAAGAGGACAAATGCTATCCTAAACTTACATAAAACTGCTAAGAAATGATAATGATAAGAATAGACTTTTTCCTACAGTAATTTTGTAAGTGTCTCCCTGTTTATAATCTGAAAAAGTGGTATATGTTCACTTTCAACTGGCATTTTCTCTGATTTGCATGATATCATTATTTAGAGCAATAGCAGCTGGTCTTACTGTGCTCACCTGTGCTAAAATTCTAAACATATGGTTAATTTGAACTGCAAGATTTATTATTTGGACTCCAACACAATGCCCATAAGTGGACCTTTTAGAGAATAATAAGGCATAACATTCACACTTCATTAGCTTCATTGGGACTAAATTATGGTTTTTGTCATCCAACAACAGGATGAAGGCCACATCTATACATACAAACAAAAGTGAAGGAATTAACAAAATATTTGGTAATAAGAATAAAAATAGAATTTTGCCTTAAACCAAAGAGCATTCTAAGTGTACTTCTTGGCAAATTTTACAAGCCAGTGACCTAATTTTCTATTCAATTTAATACTTGCAAATGTAAATTCATAAAATGTGCACTTACCTTTGTCTCATATGTTAAATCTTTCATTTCATATATTAAATTTTAGTACTACTTTATATATATATATATATATATACATATATATAAAATTTTATTACTCCTGGGATGGTTGAATGTGTTTATACTGATTAATTAAATTAAACTTACTAAAATATTTTCACAGGAAGAAAATGTTAATTTACTTAAGAATCATATAAACCAAATTTCTTCATAATTTCTGAGCACTTATAGCAGATCAGGGTGGTAAGAAAAATTTCAAAATCTTTCTAGCCTTCGAGAACAATCAATCCAGATGAGTGAGACATAAGTCACATACATACAAAACATGTTCAATTATTATAACACAGAAATTGAATGCTTTATCTATAAGACACAGTGACAAATAAATGAATTTGGAATGACCAATGTATTTATAAATGGAGTATTAATTTCTGTTTTGGAGTCTGTGCATGTTATAATACATTCAGAGATCAGTATAAATTGGAAGTATAAAGACTCTCAAAGGCTAAAATTGCAATATATTTATAAGAAATAAAAATGATAGTTTTCATCTCAATGATAATATTATGTTTGAAATATAGAAATCATTCCTTTAAAAAGGCAACACTGGCCACTTGCAAATAAAATACTCCCATATTCTTTCCAAATTCAATACAACTTTATTGTTTTAAAAATTAATATTTTATTTGGCTAAATTGTTCTTCACTGTCACTTTCATTTTATAGTAATTAAGAATGTGTATTACTTTCACCATAAATTATCTTTAAAGCAAAGAATAGGATTGCTTCTCGGCCTTTTGGCTAAGATCAAGTGTAAAGCAAAAAATAGGTAGGAAGTAAATAATTTCATTGAGTTTAAAATGTTTAATTATGGGGCCAGAGTTGTGGTACAAAGGGTTAGGCCACTGCCTTCTGCACTGGCATCCCATAGGGGCACTAGCTTATGTGCTGGCTGCTCCACTTCTGATCCAGCTCCCTACTAAAGTGCCTAGGAAAGCAAAGGAAGATAGCCCAAGTGCTTGGGTCCTGCACCCACATGGGAGACCCAGATGAAGCTCCTGGCACCTAGCTTCAGCCTGACATAGCCCTGGCCATTTGGAAAGTGAACCAGTGGATGAAAGATTCATTCACTCATAAGTCAGAGATCAGTATTTAAAAAAAAAAAAAAAGACTTTAAGAAATGTATTATTTATTTATTTATTTTACAGGCAGAGTGGACAGTGAGAGAGAGAGACAGAGAAAAAGGTCTTCCTTTGCCGTTGATTCACCCTCCAATGGGCGCCGCTGATCCGATGGCAGGAGCCAGGTACTTCTCCTGGTCTCCCATGGGGTGCAGGGCCCAAGGACTTGGGCCATCCTCCACTGCACTCCCTGGCCACAGCAGAGAGCTGGCCTGGAAGAGGGGTAACCGGGACAGAGTCCGGCGCCCCGACTGGGACTAGAACCTGGTGTGCCGGCACCGCAAGGTGGAGGATTAGCCTAGTGAGCCACGGCGCCGGCCTAGAAGTGTGTTGTTTATAACGAACTAGTGTTAACTGGGAGTTCTTAAAAATATTATCTACAGGGCCACCGTAGCGGTAAAGTCACTGCCTGCAGTGCTGGCATCCCACATGGGAGCCAGTTCAAGTCTCTGCTGCTTCACTTCCCATCCAGCTCTTTTCTATGGCCTGGGAAAGCAGTGGAAGATGGCCCAAGTCCTTGGGCCCCTGCACCCACGTAGGAGACCCAGAAGAAGCTCCTGGCTCCTGGCTTCGGATTGGTGCAGCTCCAGACGTTGTGGCCATATTGGAGTGAACCAGCGGATGGAAGACCTCTCTCTCTGCCTCTCCTTCTCTCTCTGTGTAACTCTGACTTTCAAATTAAAAAAAAAAAAAAATCTTAAAAAAAAAAGAGAAGCGAATATTATCTACAGCAGAATGTGGCACTTTTGGCAGGTATTACAAGATTAAAACACTTGCCATGCTGAACCAAAATATAAAACTGAATACTTGCAATATCATACTTCTACCTGATTAGAAGCAACAGATGTGAATTTGTAAAAAAAAAAAAATCTGAATTATCTGATACAACCAGAGTATTTCCATTTCAAGTAGAAATAAATGCCTATGTTGGTTTAGATGATAAGGCCATAGCTTAAATCTGTATATTAGTTATCTGTTGCTGTATAAAAATGTTCCCCTCAAACAGGGTTTTATTTATTTATTTAAAAGACAGACAGGGAGAGATGGAGAGAGAATGTTTCATCTGCTTTTCCAGGTGAGTTAGTCAGAAACTGGAGAGGAAATAGGACAGCTCAGACTGAAACTGACACTCTGATATGGAAGCAAACAGAGCAGGTGGTGGCTTAATCTGTGGCATTACAACACCATGCCCTTAGAAGTTGTATCTTGAGCAAACTGTGGATCTGAAAATACTTTTGATCAGGTGTGGCCACGTACTGCAGCAGTTGAAACACCACTGTGGATTCCCACATCCCATGTTGGAGAGCCTAGATTGAGACCGGGCTCTTTTACTTCGGTTCCAGCTTCCTGTTGGATGCCCTCTGAGAGGCAATAGAAGACGGCTCTTAACTAATTGGGTCCCTGTTCTTGGCTTCATATTGGCTCAACCCTGGTGTTTCTCTCTCTCTCTCTCTCCCTCTCACTCTCCCTCTCCCTCTCCCTCCCTATCTCCCTCTCTCTCCCTCTCCCTCTCCCTCCCTATCTCCCTCTCTCTGTCTCTCCCTCTCCCTCCCTCTCTGATTTTCATTTTTTTAATTTACAAAAATAATTGAAAGAATTAGAGAGAGGGAGGAAGACACACACACACACACACACACAGAGAGAGAGAGAGAGAGAGAGAGAATCTTCCATCACTGGCTCCCTCCCTAGGGCTGGGACAGGCCAAAGCCAGGAACTTCATCGGGTCTCCTATGTAGGAGTAGGGGTGCAAGCACTTGGTTCATCTTCTGCTGCTTTTTCCAGGCCATTAGAAGGGAGATGGGTGGGAAGTGGAGCACCCATATGGAATTCCAGCTTCACAGGCAGGGGCTTTCCCTGCTACACAACTCTGGCCCCTGACTTTCAAATTTTAAAAAATTAAAAAAATATATAATCCATGGCACTGATCTCCAAATCCTGCATCATTTTTTTTCTTTCATGTTAATCTCTTTCTTTAATTTGGTTTAGAATTCATCCAAGGTGAAGAATAGTTTGCCTCAGAGTCTTCTAATATCCAGCACTGTGTCTTTCATCAAAGTCTGAAAGGATCTGACAGATCTATTTTGTGGGCCTTTTGCATTCTCAGGGGGCTCTTTTTCTTCCCCAGGGGTGATTTTTCCTCTTCAGATATCCAGCGTTCCCTTTTCTTCAGCTACTTCTTTTGAGCACAGAGAAACACTGTCACTCTCCCTGTCATGTTCACTTGTTAATTGATAGATTTTTCTTTGAAATAAAATAGTTGCTGCCAATGTATTACCTACACCAGACAGTGCACTTCAAACATTTCCTCTCTGAGTGGTAAGTTTGATAAAAATCCTTTTAAGCATTTCTGACAGTCAAGGGAAGGTATTAAAAAGGGTTATTCCAGGGTATTTTCAAACCAAAAGGCAAACACCAGGAAATAGCTAAGCCTAGACTGTAGGAAGACCATCTGGTAACTACAGAAGTGAAAGGGCTTCAGTTGCAAATTGTTCAAATGCTAGAATATTCCCTTCCCTGTCTGTCCCACACGGATGTGTCTGGAAAACACCCTCTGGAGATTCTCAACTGACTTTTCTCATTGTACATTTTGCCTGTTCAGATGGGCACATTTACCTATCTCTTGGGACAAAGATTATTTTTAAATGAAGATGTGACTTCACATCCTTCTACCTCATTTCTAATATACTGGTAACACATTTTCCAGTTTTTGTCATTACTTCTACTTCCAATAATGAGACCTGACAATAAAACACATTATCATGTGATGTAATTTCTTTAAATAGATGCAACAGTACCATATAAATAATGAAAATGAATAGAAAGTATTAAATCTCTAATCAGAAAGTTACTAAGTTTTGTTGATTTTTAAAATAAAAATGCAGATGATAAAATAAGAAAGAATATTAGAAAAAAATCAAAGAATATAGTTCTAACTACTCAAGAGATTTTATGAAAGAAATAGTCAATTAGGTTTGTACAAACTAAATTATAAAAATGTCTAAAGCAAAGTATCCAAAGGGGAAAATGTTATCAAATACGTAAAGAATTACCATGCTTTAAGCCCTATCCAATGAAATTATCACTATGTGTTATTTTCCGCAATAGCAAAAGTGTCAATTTCATAGATTATCATTTTTCTATATATTCTACACATTAAAGTACATAATCTATATTAACTGTTTGGTATAAATGGCAAGGAATTGAGCTAACTTGACCATCAGTAGGCATAAGTACTCTTAGATTCCGGTTTATCAAAGTGTGGTGAGGTAGCAACACTGTGTAACTCTCTCTTTTTTTGGAAGATTTATTATATTTATTTGAAAGGCAGAATTAGAAAGAGAGGGAGAGACAGAGATGTATCTTCTGGTTCACTCCCTAAATATCCACAATGGCCAGAGATGGGCTGATCTGAAGCCATTAGATAGGAGCCTGTTCCAGGTCTCCCACATAGGTATAGGGGCCCAAGCACCTTTACCATCCTCTACTGCTTTCCCAGGCTCATTAGCAGGGATCCAGACCAAAAGTGGAACAGCTGGGATCCACATGAGATGCCAGTGCTACAGGCAGCAGCTTAAGCCACTAAAGCCACAACATGGGCTCTATAGTGCCCTACACCGTGTAACTCTCAGCAACACTGTTGAGAATATTTTCCCCTCTCATGCAGGGTACACTGCCTGCTGATTATCTGTTAAGAGGTTGATCCTCCAATCAGTTCCCTAGAACAGGGCACAATGAGAATTTCAAATTTGCATAAATGTATGTTCTAAAGCAATCACAATAGCTATAGACAGAATGTTTGTGTCTCCCCAAAATTCTTATGTTGAAATTAAAGTCCCAGCATGATGACATTTGAAGATGGGGTTTTTAGGGGGTGATTAGGTCTTGAGGGTAAAGCCTCATGAGTTGGTGTCTTTATAAAAAGGAACCAGAGAACACATTTGCTACTCAACTACAGAAACTGACATCACTCTCCCTACTCAAAACTCCCTTCCATTATTAACTGACATTCACAACTCCCTACATATAAACCCAGACTCACTCTACCATTTTCTGACCACTCTGTTTTACTGTCCTACTCTTAAAGATCTCCTTAAACAGGTTCACCCGTCCTGTTCTATCTGTTCCTTGATATCCCCTCAGGGAAAGCTAAAGCCTCAGATACCCACCCACCAGATGAGAGGCCACCTTCCTGGTGAAGACTGGCAAACAGACTTTACTCACATGGCCCCTCACAAACGCTTACAGTATGTACTAACCATGGTGGACACATTTTCTGGCTAGATAGAGGCCTTTCCTACAACTTCAGAAATGGCAGCCGTGGTGGCCGAAATCTTACTCCAACACATCATCCCAAGATTCGGGCTGCCTACCTCTATCCAATCAGACAATGGGCTGGCCTTTGTATAACAGGTGGTACAACAAGTTACACAAGCCCTTGGCACCACCTGGAAGTTACACATACCATACGGCCCCCATTCCTCAGGGAAAGTCGAAAAGGCGAACAGCATGCTAAAAGATCACCTTACTAAACTCTCCGTCTAACTTCGGATGGGATGGCCACCAACTACTCCTGGGCTCTCACCAGGCTCCGTGCAGCTCTGTGCAAGCCCCTGGGACATAGCCCGTTCGAGCTCATGTACAGAAGACCGTTCCTTCTCAACCATAACCTGCTGGTCCACACGCCGCCGATGGCCTCTTACCTCCCCTACCTCACCTTACCTCATTTGCTTCTCAGGGAACATGTTGACGGACATCTCCCATCCCTATCTGTCCATCACCCAGCTGA